TCTTTTGCAGGACCTGGCCTTATACAACGAGTTTACCATCAGCGACACTTTCTGGTTTTATGGACGTATTCATGGGCTCGCTTCCAAGGAGACAGAGGCCCGTATGACCTTCCTCGTTGACTTTCTAGACCTCCCAGACAAATCCAGACTGATCAGGAACCTGAGGTACACAAGAGAAACTGTTGCTTAGTTCACACAGAACGTGTGCCTCATGCGTCTGAGCTTCACAGGACGGCGAAGCACAACGAGCCGGACTGAAGCAGGGACTGGGCAGCTCAGGGCATGACAACACATCTCACTAAAAATAGTGCAAGATTTGTGTGTGATGAGTGTGTGATGTTCCGACTTTATTTAAAAGGAGGAGGCCTTGTCTAAAACATTATATTGTTCTACAATAAAGTGTATTTTATAATATCTTATAAATGTAAAATTACTACAAATAAGCACAGGTTTTCTATTTTTCCCATGTGCATTTCTGTGTTTCTAACCACTTTATAAATTAGTTGATCCTTGGCAAAAAAAATATAAGTTAATATAATATAAATCAGTGTTTAGCATATTGTGGTAACCACAAAATCTTCACTAGGCACTAAAATGAGAGAGAGCAGTGACTATGAAAGCCGTGATTCACTGAATACCACTTACCACAAGCCTTGGTCAACAGTTTCTATTTTTTGTTTTGTAGAGCATTAATTAAAGATCTTGTATTTACAATGTATTGTTAATATCAGCACAGAATACAGTAGGTCAGCAATAAACCTGATCTCAGATGTGAAGCTTGCCGAGTCTCACAGCAAGCCCTGAAACAGAAAAATATTCCACATTAATTACTGTTACAACAGCGATTCTTTTCAGGAGTAAATGCCAAGAGAAATGCTTGTGTCAGAGCTCTGCCTCAGCTCCGACGCCCCCCCACCCTCCTTCTTTTTTTCTCTGGCTCTTCTCCAAGACCTTAAAGCAAGAGGCTCAATGCCCACATCATCATGTGATCTCACACAGGAACACAATTTACAGTGTTCATTAAGTTTAGGGTAAAACAGGCTATTTGTTTGATAAAGGGAACTTGAGCTCCTTTTACCACTTTCAGAAAAAGAAGAGACAGGTTGTTTCTGATATATGATCACCCCCAATTTGTGATGGGCCTTAATAAGCTTGTCTAGCTTTCTTACAGCAACAGTCATGATAGCAAGCCATTAAAGCACCAGGTTTGACTGTTTTATTGAAGAGAATTAGCGTGACAATGAAAATCCTATAGGACTACAATGCAAAAGCAATGTAGGTCTTTTTATTTCATTTTATTATTTTTCTTTTATTTAAAAAATTAGTAAAAATGACATGCAATAGCACATTGTGCAATGACTGTCACAGTGCTCATACACGCTGAGGTCCTGTAGACCAAGGCAGAACCTTTTATAATATGTTTTTTAATCATAGGGATTTATTCAACTAATAAAATACAATATGGTGATTTAAATTATTGTCCTCTTATAGGGGTATAAGGTACACATTTTCTATTCTTCTCTTACAAGCACACCGTTAGCAGAACCTAAAGCTAAAATATTAATAAACCTGTTTTTGTCCCTTTTTTTGATCATCACATTTGTGTTTCTGATGAATAACTATTAGTTCTGAAAATACCAGCCCCAGGTAGGAAATCTATTGAAACCAGTTCCGCAGAATAAGATCTCTACCTTTCCCCTAGTGGAGGACAGAAGAGGCGTGTTTCCCTGGGAGCTGCCCTCCTGCAGAAACCTGAGCTGCTCATCCTGGATGAGCCGACAGTGGGAGTGGACCCCGTCCTCAGAGCCAAGTATGCTTCCTCTTTTCCTGGTGCGGGCGGGCTGTTACAGTGGGACAGGCTCGCAGCTCCAAGCTAAACCACAGTACATAGTCCATCTGCACAGTACTTTTGCCATTTTTCTGTAGCTTCACAGTGGCTGTGTATATGGCTCACTCTGGGGTGTGCCTGAGATGTGCCTCAAAACGCAACACATATCGTTACTCTGCAGTAATTAACCAAAGGAAGTCGCAGAGGAGTGCAGGCCGTGTTTCAAGAGCTAGAACGGCGACTTAATGTGGAGGTCTGAGATTCCTGGAGAAGTCCGAAGGCCGAGGGGTCAACCTATAGAGTTGTGGTGGACCAGAAGTGACCATGAGAGTCGCC